TCTTCTGCTTTCTGCTTCATCTGAATCTTCTTGCGACCCATGACTGACGGATGCTGACGGGCAAAAAAAGGAGTGCTTTGTCGACCTTTGTCAACCGCCGCCAGTCACAACTCCGCATCGTGAACGTGCATCATGCCATATGACATATCATGCCTCAAGGAGGAGGATGGCTCAAAGACGCCAGAGTGCGAGGGTGCCAAAACATTCTGAGCAGAACGCAGAGGAACGAAATCAGCCAACGATTGGTGGCAGATGATTCAGCAGCCAGAACGACAGATGGTGACAACCAAGCCCACGTCGGAATGACCAATTTCTGACATTGTCTTCCTTGCGTCCGTGCAGGGAAGTGGATGGGCTCTCAGGGAAGTTTTTCATGTCAGAGCCTGACCCTTACCCACCACTTTTATCAAACAATATTTGTGTCATTTCCTGGCTCCCGGATGGGGGCAGGGGACCTTAAAACTGCAGATGTGCAGTTTCCAGTTGTTTTTTCTTTCCAGGTCCCCCACCCCTTATGAGTAGGGGATCGCTGTCGCCATGGCGCCCGCGGGCACTCCGGGTGTACCGCAGAGGCGCTTCGACAACCAGCATGGAGTTGGCCCAGGACGCCCCATACGCCGCGAGGCGAGATGTGGCTGCCGATCGCCGAGCCGCAGAGCTGCGCAGCAAAAAGTGCTGCGCAGATGACGCGCGCATCGTAGCTGATGTGATGCTGCGGAAAAAGGCGCGCAAAAAAAAAAAGGAGGAGGATGAGCCGCAGGTGGGGCACAGACGGAACGCTGTAGCAGCCGTCGCGCCTGTTCTGGAGACTACGGGAAAAAAGCAGGATGCCGCGCCGGCGTGCCCAGTACGGCGAGTGCTTGTTGGCCTGGAGCGCTCGGGGGAAACGTGAGCAGCAGCAAGCTGGGTTGCGTTCCATGCCCGCGTTTTGCCCAAGTGGCGGCGGACATTGGCACGCTCCCACAGGGCCATGCACAAAGCATCGGGGAGTGGCGGTGCGATCAAGTGCGCTCGTCACGTAGACGTCGTCAAGGAACGCATACAAATCCTTGCCGGGGCGTAGCCCCCTCTGCGGCGAATAAAAAAGCGCTGGGAGCCGCCCAAGGGCACGTAGCTGGCATGAGCAAGCCGCCCTGCTCGCCCCTTCGGCCTGACCAGCCGGCCCAAGCGCGCGCCCGCGATCACGGGCGGGGCACTGCGGCGCGGAACTTTGCGGCATCTGCGCACCATGGCGCGGATGCTCGCAGGACTGGCCGGCAACAAGCCGCCTCCCACAGGGCGCGGCCGGGCTCGGCGTCGGCGCCGGGTCGGCTGGTCCCATCGCGCCGCACCAGGCTCACAAGCTACCCGCACGCCGCCGAAACCGGGAAGCCCGTTCGCGACCGCCTCCAACCGCCTGGCCCGGCTTGACCGAGATGCTGGCTCAAGTTCGGAAAATAGTGTCTCGAGGGCCCAAAAAGGTTCGTCGCATGTTCGTCGCTACCCGCGCGCCAGCCCAGGCGACGGCACGCCGGAGCATCCACCCGGAGTTCCAGGGCGGCATCCACCCGGAGTTCCAGGGCGCGGTACGGCTGGGCTGGCCGTCGGGCAGGGTCAGTGAGTTGCTGCAAAGTGGCGGGCCAGCTTGCAGGCGTGCACTGCTCGGACCCGAGCCTCACCAGCCGTGACGCCCCTAGCCGAGAACATCCTCCTACGCGACCTGACGCTTTGGGGTGTAGGCGGCTGTGGATACCACCCCGAGCTGACGGTGACCCGCGGCCGGGGGCCGACCGCGAGCCCGGCGCAGCTTTGCGCCAGATCCGCCATGATCCGCCGCCGCACGCGCCACCACACTTACCCAGCTCCTCCAGAGCCGGCGCTGCCGCCTGCTCGTCCTCGGCCTGGAGGTTGGGGGTCGGTGGCTCCCGGAAAAACTTTTGTGCGCCTGCTCGGCGTCGCGCCGTGTCCTCAAACTGCTGCGTGGAGCTGCTGTGCAGGCATGTGTGCGGCGGTGGACTGCCCTCTTCGCAGTCGCCGCACGGCGAAAGCTGGCCGCCAGCCTGCTGCAGTTCCCGCTTTTTGGGGAGGCGCGTGTTGACGGCGCAGAGCCGCCGGTGAGCGCCGAGCCGCCTTCCCACGTGAGCCTCGGCGCCTTTTCACGTTTCACCCATTATAGTGCTTTCGCTTTGCAATTGGAACGGGCGCGTAAAAAAGAAGAAGAAGGAAGACACAAAACAGGAATGCTGGGTGTGGCAACTCGTGGCAATCCGAGGCCCGCCGGCCATCAGGAGTGATGCTGTTGCGGGCGCGCGCAGCTGGTTGTTGTCTTTGTTGTTGCAGAGGGGCCTCCGAACAGTCGGAAGCACATGCCTTTTCGGCAAGCGTGGAAGGAAAGTTTCCCCCGTTTCACCTCCATTGCCCTATTGCGGCACATACTTAACAAACATTGCTCCATGCACTTGAAGGCAGCTGCGCTTGCTTTGCCAGGCGTGTTGCAGCAAACCTCCAGTTCTCGTCCCGAGCAATCATCCGTACTTTGTGCCTGCTGCTTTTCCCCCGGGCAGGGGGCCGCGCGGCTGCGGAGAGGTACAGGCCGTCCCCAGCCCAACAGGTCCTGGACAGCGCCGTCTAGTGCTTGATGACAAAGAGGCATCCAACGTGTTGGTGCGAGTTTGAGCGCCTCGCGCGGGCGGTCCCAGCTGCAGTTGGGCCGTGGCTTGGGCTTGGCCGGCTAGCCTTCCGACAAAGCCCTGGGTTTGGCAGTCAAGAGGCGCACAAACAATATCCAGCAAAACTTCCATGACCTGTCGGGAGATTGGCCACGACACCCAAAAATTCTCACATGAACCCTCACAAAAGGATACCACCAAAACCCTTCTGATTCGTCAATACGGCCTTTGGCTCGCATCCTTTGCCTTTGCCTTTGCCCCGTTCGAGTCAGGAAACCACGGTCCATGGAGGACGCAGGTGCTCTACAAAAGCGAGCTCGTTGTCAAGCCATTGCCTGGACCGAGGTGCCACCACCCATGATCCGCGGAAGACCAATATTTTGACGACCGCCCCGCTGACGAGCACCATGTTTTTGGCCGTGGCAGGTGTGGTGGCAGGCAGCTGCGTCGAGGTGTTAATTATGGGAAGATTGCAGACACACACACACACACCATTATTTTGCAAAGAAGTTGAGCGGGAATTTGTCTAAACGTGGTACTGTGGAACCACGTCATCGTATCCAAGGTGCTGGGGCGAAATTTCATAAACACAAACATGTGCTGTGCAATCAACACATTTCCTGAAAACTACGACTGTGGTACCTCGAGGCTGTCATCACGCCAAGTGTGCTTCATGGGCTGGCGACCTTGCCTTTCGCAGGTTGCGGTTTGTCATAGGGTAGGTTCGCCTGGAAGGTGAGGATTTGCATAAGACCATGGGAAGGATGAAGCATCGACTGCAACATGCAAGGGGATACATCCCATCAAGCGGTGGACGCAGACAGTATCGGTTTGCTTCCAAAATTATTCAAAGAGATGATGCCTGGCCAGCGGCAGCAGCTTCGTGGAACCCCAATTTTGTCAGAGTGCCGACTAGGAAATAGGACGCCCATTAAAAAGATGGGACGATCAATTGAATATGTTTGGCTCGCATCCATCGGGATCAATCATAAATTTTCTCAGCTTGCTCCCGACTTTGGATCGACACCTTTCGCTCCGGAAGATGTTCTCCGCGGCCCACAAGCGAGCCTCCTGGAACACGTGTGCCAACAACTCCCGTGCCAAAGCTCAACCTTCCTCAGCCGATTGCCACCGGCGACCGCAGTGGACTTGTCCACCTCACCAACATCGCGTGATGGTGTCTCAGCAGGTCTTGCCTCCATCTGTTGCGTTCGGTCCTCCACTTGTCGCCTTGCTGCAGTTTCCACACGCAGCCGACCTTCATCTCGTCCGAGACAGCCTCAATCTTTGTGCCCAAGCGGTCTTCTACTTCACCCACGCCGCTGGCAATCTTTTCTCACATCATCATGCGAAAAACTTGGATGGTGGCGGGACTCATATCTTTTGCCCCAGCTTCACGATCAGGAGTGCCACTTGACGCCGCACGTGTTGAACTGTGTGCCACCTCTGTGTTCCAGAGTCTGCGCCTCGCCGATGGTTTCCGCGGACATATACCTGCCATATCTCTCTCATGCTTTTGACCCTTTTCTGTTTGAATTCTCTTGCTCAAAACAAATCTTGGTATCACGAGGTTCCAGAAAAAAGCGGCATAGCAACTACGACCGGCACAGGCAAACCTACACTTGAACCGAGACTTGAACCTTGTATTTTTATCGCTACTTCTACTACTCTTTCTGCTTCCGCTACTACTGCTGCAGCTGCTGCTGCTGAAGGCCTCCGGGGTTTGCAATTTTGCCTCCTGTGCCCTGAGGCTCCCTTCAAGCACGGTTTCGGGGGGATAGACCCTCGCGGCGGAAAAAAGGCGCGTGACAAAAAAATATGTTATCCGTTTTCCTCAGTTTGAACATCGACCACGCCGATCCCAGCAGAGGCAAACAATTGCAAAACCCTTGCACGTCGAGCATGCCGATCCCCGCTCCGCTGCCGCTACAAGCAACAGTTTTGTACGTCGACCGCGCCGGTCCTGTAGCAAAGTCCACGGTTTTCGGTCCGCGTAAAGGGCGTCATTTTTCGCAGTGGGTTCAGTCCCACCACGCCGCCTGAAAAAAAAACACAAAAATTGATTTGCGCAAATGTGCTCGGGCAAAAGTGTTCTCGGGCAAGTGCGCTCTCGCAAGTGCGCTGCTCATGCAAGTCGTGCAAACGTGTTCGTGCAAGCGTGCTCGCGCACGTGTGTTCATGCAAAATTCGCTCGCACAAGTGTGCTCGTGCGAATTCGCTGGCGATTTTCCGGAATCACTTTTCGCATGCTTGCGGGGAAAAACAGCCCACGCTTTTCGGGTTAATCGCCGATGCACAACTGGAGTTGCAATGCCGTCAGCGAGTTGCTTTGTTGCTTTGAAGGTCGCGTGCTCAGAACTCGCCGCAGGAGTTGAGCTCAGAACTCGCGATGTTACTGCGACCTGCCAGCCCATCCCTTGAAGGGGACAGGGCCGAAGGGTTCGAGGCCCAAGGGGCTGAGGAAGTCCAAAGCGATGGCCTGGAGGAGAGGAGGAAGAAGCGGATTGTGGAGTTCATGTCCAGCAAGCAGGTGCTCCCTGAAATCATGCGGAGCATCAGGCCACACCAGGCGAGGGAACAAAAACCAGCGGGTTGGGCTAGCGAGGGGGTGGTGCAGGCCGCGCTGGGCTTTCAATGTCTTGAACTTTTGGGCCGAGAGAGGATTTGCAGTCTTGGTTAAAGTTTGTGCCTGCCAACCAAGGACGAAACAAATTAAGCCTCCTCCATCTCCGGTTTCCGGTTGAAGCATAGTAGTGAGATGGCCAGGTTTTCCGACATTCGTGGTTTGCACGCCTCAGTTCGGTGGATGTCCATTTTGACCTTCTTGCGCCTTTCGCCTAGGCCTTCGCTTCCTGCGGGGCAGCTCTTCGTCTGACCGAGGAATGTCGTGGCCATGCCTGCGAAGTCACAGAGAGCATCCAGGCCAGCCGACCGCCGCCCGGTGTTTTCCAGTTGTTTGTTCTTGCTCTTTAAACCAAATGCGCCGGCATTGACATGCCCACGCCTTTTACATTGCACGCCTGGCCGCACGCTTCGGTTAAGACTTGCCATTTCGACGTTCCTGACCTGTTTGGGCTGGACTCGTTTCCAACATCTTGCCCAGATGCCCTGGCTCATAAGCTGTGAAGGGAGGGGATGGCTATGAGAGGATTGTTTGGAGCCGGCAGCAGGTAAAAATCAATGTTCGCATTTCTGGACAGCGGCGCCAGCTTTCCGGGTGCTCGCCGTTCCGACTCCCGCGTTTACATGGAGGGTGCCAGGATTGTTTTTCCTACCTCCCGTCTTTCCTTGCATGTCTTGCGCAGGACCAGGTGTGACAAAGTTGTGTTCCGCTAGTGGCCGAACATGAAAGTCTAAGGCCCGGCCATTGGCCCAGGCGGTGCAGGCCCAAGACAGACCGCCCGCGCGTTCTTGGGCCATGCCAAAAGCCCAACGCTCAAATGATATTTGCCAATTTTATTGCGAGCTCACCTGGAAAACGAGCTCATCTTGACTTGGGAATCCCTTTGCTCAGCTTTTGAATGTATAAGACGATTTGCAGATGATTTATGCCAAACTCTGGGCTCCAAGCGTAGAAACGGTCAGGAACTGCAGCAACCCAGACGGGGCTGGCGTGGCCAACAGCGCGGCTCCCGCCAGACCCCATGTTGGCGGATTGGTTTGTAGTACCACTTCGGCTCTCGAAAAAATTGTCGCAGCGCCGAATTTTTGCCCTTGGTATTGCTAGAGGACTTCTGGAGCCACGCCTGGCTGGGGAACTCCTGGGGCAAGTTCCTCACGCTGCTGGTGCTCTACAACGGCCGGGCCGCGCTGTGCCTGGCCAACGGCGCCGCGCTGCTGGGCCTGGCGCTGTTTCTGCGGGGGGCGCTGCCGGGCTACTCCCGGGGCCTGGAGTTCACTGACTTCGAGGGGGCGAGGAGCGGTTGGTTTGGGTGGTTCAGTGGACAAAGATCAAGATGGAGAGGGCAGAGGAAAGGCTTGAAGACAGGGACAGAGAGAGTGAGGAAAGAGAGGGAGAGAGAGGGGGGATAGGGAGAGAGAGAGAGAGAGAGAGAGAAGGTTCCTTCGCGTCGCTTCAGTTCAGCTTGTTTCGGTTGTAAGCTGCAATCATTCGCTTTTGCGGGGTCATTGGTTGGGTTTTGGCGGCGTTGCAGGCTGAAGACAGCTTAGCACAGCCTGAGGTAGAAATGCTGTCTGGTCATTCCGAGGCTGGTTCGAGCTGGTGCTTTGACATCGGGGCTCTTTCTCAGAAGATGCGCGCTGTTTGGGCCAACTAGGGGAGTCTTACTGAACATGCCTCTGTGTTGCGCGTCTAGTGCGTTCACTCATTCACTCAGGCTATGGATGCTTCATCAAAAGAACTTGTTTACAGGCTTCCGTCAAGAAATGCTCTTAGACCAACAGTTTTCCCGGTTCTGCTGGGCGTGGCCGGATTTGCTGGCGGGATTGCAGAGACAGAGGGAGAGAGAGGAATAGACACAGAGGGAGACAGGTCAGACAGAGGCAGGCAGAGAGAGAAAGCGAGGGTATAGAGACAGAGACAGAGATAGAGATCGGGATAGAGATAGGGACAGAGATAGAGATAGAGGTAGAGATAGAGGTAGAGATAGATACATAGGCAGAGATAGAGTTAGAGGAGGCGACGCAATTAGACGGGTGGAAACAAGAAAGACACCAAAGGTAAGTCGTTGCAACATTGGTCACAGACCCTTACCGTGACTAGCGACTCCAGGAACTGTTTTGGGGGGTGGGTTGAAACTCGCTTACTACTGTGGATGGACAAAATCCTGCACCACTTTGATTACCATGGGAACTATTATTTGCTGGTATTTGCAGGGGAATCATCAGACACCAGGGTCTCTTAGGTGGTGCGAAACGGATTTCGTCCACTAGGATCGCCTTTTCCGTGTGGAGCCTTCCCTTCGGCGCCGCCGGCGCGGCGGTGGGCCTGGTGGCCTGGCGGGCTCCAAGACGAGTCTTCTTTGATCGCCTTTGCGTCGATGAGGCGGACCGGATCCTCGGCGGCAACAAAAAACCGCTCCGGCCATTGTGTGTGTGTGTGTTTCTTTTTTCTCCCCGTTTCTCCCGTTTATGACTTGCCCAGGCAGCCCAAAAGGGCTCCCTTTGGCCAGGCGGCTCCAGTTCGAAGCCATTGTCAGCCTGCCTGGCATCCTGCAGAGGTCAGATTCTCTGCTGGTCCTTTGGGACCCCATCTGGCCTTCAAGGCTGTGGTGCATCTTCGAATTGGCCGCCTCATGGTTGTTGTTGGGACACATTTTCCCAATTTTTGCTTATTGTGGTTGAGTGGTTGAGTGGTTGAAATCCAGCCACTTAGCTGCTAAGATTTTAAAGAGTTTTTGCTCCCTTACGTGAACCAAGGCCTTCCTGAGCCTCAACAAAGGCCCTCCCAGGGTCTTCCCTACGATGATGGGCCCTTGCTCCCTTGGGGCCTTCTTCCTGGGGGTCTGCGCGATGGCGCCTCTGACGCTGGTGCCGGTGGCAGGCTTCAACTACATCTTGGTAGCTGCTTGCACCATCGGGGCCGCAGCTGCAAGTGCTTGCCCGGCCGTTAGTGCCTCGCAATGTTCGGTCACTCCGTTTGATCGCTGGTTTCAAGTGCCTATCCTACTTACAGACTATTTTTTTGGGGGGGGGGCGGCCGCTTGATATATAATTTCCCCGGCTAGGCATGTTAGCATCCATGCTTCAGTGAGGTGTGCTCCGTGCCTACTACCGCGCCGTGGAGGACATGGAGAAGAAGCTCAGGACTCTCCGCATCATCGATACGAGTTGCGCCTGCTGTTCTCGGGGCCATATGAAGGCAGACGGCACGCCCATGCTCTGTGACAAGGAAGCTTTGCCCAAAGCCAACCTTTTGAGATCTCGCCTTCCCAGTAACAAGCACCAAGTTGATCAACTCCGGGGTCACATGGGGGCGGGGGGGTTGCCATTTTTCGAAGGATCAACATGGGCAATTTCAGAAGATTTGAAGCATCCTCGAACTGGAGCTAACATTGCTCTTTGCCTTTTTTGTTTGATGTTTGCATTCTTAAAATTCCCCCCCCCCCCCCCCCCAGCCCCATTATCCCCACCCGCTCGCGCGAACCGGTCCGCAGCCAAAGCAGCGAAGCCGGATGTCCAAGTGTCTCACCAGGGACGAGCGAAATCGGCCGCGGAGCGGAATGCCCTGCTCCCGGCCCGGAGGGCGATTGCCTCGCGTGCCTTCTGCAACGGATCTGAAATGGCCCCAAACCTAGCACCAGCAGCGAAACACTGAACACCAACGCCGGAACAATCGATGCTAGAATGCAAGAGATCCGTGCACAGACACTTCTTCAAAAAGGCCTTGGTAACGGCCCGTGTGCAATAAATCATGTCACCGATCAGCGGGGCACCGTGGCAACCTGCTGTACTAGGCTCCACCCATCCCGAATGATGGCGAACTGGAAAGTGGCCCCCCATGCCTATAAAGGCGACAGCCAACTCAAACCAGCTAAAAGGGTAATCGCCCTCACTGCCTTCATCAAAAAGCAGGAGCCAATCCACGAAAGCTTTCACAAAGGTGGACGGGAATGGTGTCTGCTGAGCCTCGCAAAACTCCCATATGTGGGTCGGATCTGTTCGAATTCTGACCGTAAATGGTCTTGGCTGAAAAATGACAGGCGCAGCCCAAAAGTCCGGTGGATCCTCATTCGGGTCGGACAGGCTTTGCCTCTCATGCAAATTAGCTTCTGCAAGTGTCAGGGTTCGAATGGCTCGGATGGCCGGGGTCAAATGCTCTACCTGACTGCGCAGCTGCTTGTGGAGCTCGAGGAGCTTGGGCGGTCGGTTGAAAACTGTGGCTTTCGCGGCCGTGTCAACGGCCTCGTTATATTTGAACTCCCAATCTTGAAGTGCATCTACCCGTTCGCTGTCTGCAACATGGCTGCTGACTTTGACAATGTCAATTTCAGTGTGGCCTTGTTCTCGTGCGAAAGCGAGGGCCTGCCAGAGATCTCCATGAGGGAGCATGGTGAACTTCCTGAAGCCATCTTCGATCTTCTTCCAACCATCAATGCACGATTGACTGTCTGTCCAAATACAAATATTGCGGCTGATATGAATTGACCATCTGACCGCGCTGAGTATGGCTGTTAACTCTGCCCGTGCGATGTCCTGGCTGATGCCTGACAAGGGCGCTGCTGCCAGAACCGATTTGGTCTCGACACAGAAAATTGCCCAACCTGCAAGCGTCAACCTAGGATGGTTACTTGTCTTGGCAGCCCCGTCAGTAAAAACGTTGAGCTTGCCGTGGGGTGGTACGACATCTTCAAAGGCTGAAGTCTTGTCCGGCTGCGCACTGAGCATTCCGAGGTATTCACCCATGTTCAGAAGTCTGGGGACCAGCAGGTGGTGCGGGAAGGTCCTGCCACATCTTGCCTAGCAAATCTCGTTCTTCCTGGTAGGTCTGTAGCCGGGGGCACTCCAAGCACATGTGCTGCACTGTATCTGCTGTCTGACATACCCTGCATTGTCCGGTCTGTGTAGCGTCGTACTTAGCCTGTTGCTGTGACAGGCGGAAAGTTCCATCCTGAAGCGCAGCGACCCGTGAAGCAGTAGTGGAAGAAAACTTTGCAGAGCCCAATCTGGTCAAGTAACCGTCCATGCCTCTGAGGTCCTTCATGGTGTGTCGATGCGACACCTGCGTGGCCACGTGCTGTAGCCATCCGTCGCATAGACGTCGGAAAAGGTCTGCTTTCCCGGTCTCCAGGATGTTGAAAATGATGCCATCATGATCTCGAACCGTGGGAGGAGCCTCAATGCACCAATGTATCTGTGAAAGCGTCTGTACGAGTTGCGAGAAAGAAGGCCCGGCAAACATACGTCCGTCCAGCTCAAAAAACGTCATGAAATGCTTCCAGTTGGTCAGCAAGTGGGGTGACTTGCTGCAAAGTCTGCGGAGGTCCTGTAGCATTGTCCAGATGCGGTAGAAGGCCGGATCTGCGAGGATGCAGGTGCTCAAGCTTAATCGAAGCAAAGGGTTTGAACCGGCCTTTTTGGTCCTCAAAGCATGCACCGCTGCAGAACGCAGGCTCTTGATTTCCGCATCCGTGATGACGCAGATTGTAGTACCGTAAAGGATTGAAGGCCAAAATTTGACGTAGATTGCCTGGAGTTTGTATGGGAATGGGGCTACTGCTCGGCGAAGTGTGTCCCATTCCTGATTCAGCAAACGAGACTTGTCGGCCGCCATATTGCGTCTGCCTCTCAGTTTGAAGGTAAAGTAGCCACCAAGGTCCCGCATCTCGGTAACTACCTGAAAATCAGAACGCTGCAGCATCTTTCCGTCTTCCTTGTCCAAGGCCCAAGCAAGTGTCTTCTGTGGGTCATGCTGCAGGTGCCACATGTCACAGAATGCCAGGAAAGTAAGCCACGCCCTCGTAAGCGAAGCTGCCGTGGTAGTCTGCACTGCAAAGTTATCCACGTAGCTGTAAGTGCTGATGCCAGGCATGAACGCGCGGAAGTAGACATGGAAGCACAGGTCGATGATGGTCATTGCTACCGTGCTCATGCCACATCCTTCCGGCATGCCCGTTGAGGATTTGATGGGAGGTCCGAGTCCTTGCCGAATTTGAAACCTTCTGGTGTTGTGGTTCAAAAACGTAATCCAGGCATGTATCACCGGTGAGGGGATGCCCAAATGCCTCGCCAGGAGCATGCTTGGGACTCTTGCGATGGAGTTGAAGCACTTTTGCAGGTCGCTGCTCCATCCAACCAATGGTTGCCCTGCTTGAAGGCAGAGCTCGATATTGGCTTGTTGGACGTACCAGTACTGCATGGCTTCTTTACCCGGCAAGAAACCGTACATCTCGCCTCCACAAAACTGCTCCAGGAAGCGCAGTGCTTGGCGGGCTCTTGTGCTGGACCAGAGTCGGTATACCATGCCGTAGATCACGATAGGGCGAAAGTGAAGAACCTGCGTGGAGTTCTGCTGCTTGGCGAGTGCTCTCACTGTCCCCTGGAGTAGTTGGGCTGGCCATTCACATCTGCCTTGTTCAATCTCTGTGTAGAGAGAAAGGATCTGGTCCTTCAAGTGCTGGGGCATGCGTCGCAAATCTTCTTTACTAAGACTGTCTGGCCCTTTGGCGGCGTTTGGCCGCAGCCTCGACAGGGAGTGTTCCCATTCATCTGATGCAATGGGCTTGTATTCCAATGTTCCAGAAGGAAGAAAATGCATGCCAAAGGCCAGTGCACGGCCCCACACCTCCTCTGGTAGTTCTGAGTGCGAGTTCCAGCGATGGGTCCATTCTGTAAGAAAAGGCTTCATGGAGTTTCTCCTCCACTGAGATCGTGCTGGTTGAAGAAACGGATTGGCCAGGAGTAAGGCAAAACCCATCTGCCACCTGTATAATGTCGCCGTCAATCTGCTGCACCCTGAAGGTCTCCCCGTCGGCGTCCCAACAGGCCGTCGAGGAATCGGTTGAGGCCGGTTGATTCAGGTGTGTAAGGCCGGTCTCGGTCTCCTGGGCAAGCACAATGAAGTCGTTCTCCTGAATGAGCAAATCAACTTCCGGCGCCTCTTGAAAAGGAGGTCTCGCTGCGCCTCGAATGTTGCAGTGATGACCTTGTTTCTTTGACGAGCGTGCCATGCCTCGAACTTTCGAAAGTTGGCGTGGAAGTCATCATAGAGCATGGTGACGTTGTGCTGGTTCGGAATAAAGTTGTGAAGGGTAGCTGGGCTGCCTTGATGTTGCACAGGTCGAGTAGGCCACCAGGTGACGAAGTTTCCAGAGAAACCTCGGGCAGTGCGTATGCGGTGCCACAGTTGCCATCGGTGTTCGTCTGCGTTCGTCCCGGCTGATGGAGAGAGTAATGCAAATCGCAGGGATTGAAGCCGCCGAAGTTGTTTGAACCACTTGGCGACCGCCCAGCCTGTAAGGTCGTTGTACAAGGTGACTTCGCCGTTTCTGCTTGGTTTGGTCAAAGGTTTGGCCGCAGGTCTTCGCTTGGGAGAGGTAGCTTGGCAACGGCCACGGCACCGACCAGGAAGGGGTTCCGAGCTGGAAGAATGTACTGCTGCTTCAAAGGCCTTGCCGAGCGAACTGTACCAGGAAGAAACGTCTGTGCCGGAAAGGTCTGGCATGTGTGGTTGTGAGGTAGTGAGAATGTCCTGGTTCACCTGGCTCCATGGGATTTGTGCTGGGTGAATCCATTGCAGCTGCATGGGGACCGTACGACTGATCTTCAGACTGATCTGAACCGTGTCGTGTTCCATGAAGTGGGGAGTCACCTGAACGTCGCTGCAGAGCGCCGCAGCTTCCGGAGACATCCAAATGAAATCACGTCTTGTGGCATTTTTGCAAGTAGTTCGGATAGGGATCTGCCAACATTGGAGCGCCCAATCCTGACATTCGATCCAGCCTCGCGCCCTCCAGAGTTGGCATTGCTCCAATTCATCTGGCGAGGCATTGAAGTCCCCGACAATGACCCTAGGTCCTCCTCTGCCTAAGACGACCTCTTTGGTGATAGTTCGAAGGATGCCGTCTGTCAAGGTGAGTGCCGAGGGATTTGTCGGGCCTTGTGCGTAGCCGTATATCGTCGCTGCCGTAATAGGCAGGGTGCCAATGTGGTGCTCCGTGACCAAGATGCGTCCCGTACTGTACTCCATGTCGGGCCACGTGAGGCGAATTTCGCGAGCTGGAAAGTCTGACATGGAGAGCACGCCCGTCCATGCTCCTGCCCACTCAGAGTTGCGTCGAAGTGGGGCAGGTGCTCCTTTTGTAGTCCGAACGTGCCGATGGGCTTGACGAGCACCGTGTTGTAGAGCTCGTTGTACTGACCGTTGTGTAACCGTAGAAAGCTGTGTTTCCGTGAAGAACCAGAGACCTGGTCCAAGGCCAAGCGCAATGAGTTCTTTTGATCGCAACCCAGATGGGTTGCTTGTCCCCAAATGCACCGTCTCTGTGGGACCAGGATTCAGCGCCGGGGCCAGTCTACCCCGGACCCAATAACACGGTCATCAAGCGATGCCGCGCTCACGAAGGAGTGCTGGGCACAGGGCGAAATGGTCCCCTCTGCCTCGATCGCGAATAGAAAAGGGATCCAGAGCGCAAGCCAAATCCAAAACCGAGTGGGGCGAAATGAAAATCCAGGCACCGCCTTAGCGCCCCTAGGCGGCCCTGTGGGAGATAGTCACTCCGAGCTTCTCGGTTTCTTGTCCGCATGGCCAGTATCTTTGAGGTTGATGAGAGCCTCCTGGATCTGCTGGAGCTGCGTGTTGAATTGCGTGCCCATTGAGAGGAGCGCGTTCTGCATGGATTCCTGAAACTGCTGTGGTTGCGTCTGTATCTCCTGACGGATCTGTGAGAGGTCCTGTTGCTGGGTCTCGATGGTGGTCTGAAGCGAGCTGACCTTGTCGTTGAGATGCTGCGTGGTGCGACCTGCCTGTTGGAACCAGTTCTCGAATTTGTCATTCTGGCGGCAGAGCTCCTTGACTGTGGTTTCAAGCGAGCCCATCCGGTCCTCGGTGAGGTCCATTGCATCTGCTTTCTCCTTGAGCTCGTGTTGGATGGCGGTGTGAACGTTCTCCTTGAGCTAGCTTCGATCTGCTGGAGCTTGTTTGTGGTGGTGGTTCCAGTTGAGGAGGAGGGTGCAGTAGGCTTGTCATTTCCTTGAAACCAAGCTGACCAGGGGTCTTTGTCTCCCTGCCAAGGATCAGCAGGCGTGGACTCTGCTGAGTGTGCGGGTCGCGATCTTGATGTGTCTGCCTGCAGGTGCTTCCGAGTTCTCTGCGGAATGAGTTGGTTGTTTGTCGGCTCCATCTTCCGTTGCGTCGACTTCACCTTGGTGATGAGGATGTCACCGCCGGGCCCAGGCATTGCAAAAGATGGAGGGTCGAATTCTGCCCCGACTTCCCAGGCGCTGCCAGCCGCACTGCCACGGGCGGGTTGAAGAGGCTTAGCGCTCCACTGCCATTGGGTCAACAGGGAAACGATTCCGGCCCGTTGTACTCCGAAAGGAAGTGGGTAGATCTTGTACACCGCATTGACACGAATGGCAACAAAAGTCTGGCCAGGTCGTAGAGCACGAAAAACCGTCCCTTCATCTGAAGCCTTGACTCGTACCCCCCATTTGTTGCCCAGCCTAGCTATTCCAACTGCTTTCTCGTTGGTGTTGAGCACATGGAGAGCATCGGCAAGAGCCTTGCCAGGGAGCCAGATCACCGCAAAGTTGGGGCATGGGCCCAAAGAGGACTCCGCCCGTGGTTCAACGTAGACGCCCTTGCGACCTGATTCTCGATTGAGCTGTTGCAGGGCAAGTTGTGGAACTCTTGCAAAGGCTTGGACCATTTCGGCTTGAGCTGGGTCAACCTTTCCACCTGTGATTTTCTGGTAAGAACGTCCCCAGAAGTCTTGAATGACCTTGTGAATGTCTTCCTCAACCGACGGGTGGTAGGCCCTGCAGTTGTTTGTGCAAGCCTCTCGGCAGATGTTCAGCGCCTCGAGCTGTGATGTAAAGGCTTTGGCAGGTGAGGAGACGAAACCTGGCCATGCCTCTCGTAGCTCGTCTTTGTAGCCAATCAGCTTGATGATAGCGGTGTCCACTGCCTCGATGGCGGTTTGCAGCGAAATGATCTGCTTGGCGATGTGAATGTCGCCAATGTTGATCAACGTTCCGCTGAGCAGCAAAGCTTCCTGGGTCTCCTTGTACAGGGCCGGGAATTGTAGGTCCACTACCTGATGATTGCCTCTGAGCTCGCTGGGAAGTTGCGGAACCGTGAGTAGTCCAAGAGCATCTGGGCTGATGGAGCCGCCTGCCTTCAGGAAGGGAATCGCATCTGAAATTGTAGCAAGGGCAAGTCCTCTGGCATTGGCAGTGACCTCCTGGATAGGGATCTGAGCAACGGCTTCATGTGAGTCATCAATGAAGGTGTCTTCCTGTAGGACAAGGAATGGGAGCACTTCTTGCCGCTTTGCCCTTATCCCGCTTTGGTGCATCTCTCAAGCGATCCGCACCAAACATATGGGACGCCTTTTTCTCAATTTGGGCCTGAAGCTCGTGGGGTTGTATCCACCGAAAGCGGTGTTGTGCGTTGTTGCCAAGGGCTTTCAGTGCTGCCCACGGGTTGTTGTGCTGCAAGGCTTGTTGGATCTGGTTGGCCCCTGAAGCTCTGGCCTCAACCAAATTGCCCGGAACCCCCTGCTTGATGAGGACTGCAGCAAGGTCACAACCAAGACCATCCGGCGTTGGACCGGCTGCTCGCCACGCGGATTCGCTTGTGTCCAGGTCAAGGAGCCGTTGATGCCAGATGTCTGTATCTGTCTGTGTGAAGCGATCCCATAGTCCGAGCACATTGCAGGCGTGTTGCAGCGCGATCACCCCACACTGTCCAGGTTCCTGTTGGGCATAGAGCGAAGAAAGCCCTATGGGCCCGCAGGGCATGCTCCAAACGTCCGCAACACGCTGAAGCAGAGAGGCTGCGGCAGCAGGGATGTTCCTGTATCCGTTGAAGACCGTGGCGTTGAGGTGTTCCTCCTCCTCCTTGACGATCAGTAGGGCCCAATGTCCTTGATCCTCAAAAATGGTGAGAATCTTTCCGTCGCGTCTGAAAGCATGGTACCAAACGCCCGAGATCTCCTGAATGAAATCTGCCGGTGCCTGCAACCAGAGTAGTGCCTCGCGAGGTGTGAAAACAATCCAAGGGTCATTCTCGATGTCCTGGTGCAGCTTGAGGAGGGAGTGGAGTGCGGTGTTGATAGCTCGATCGCTTATCTGAACCCCTGCATATCCAGCTCCGTGGGTCCGCACTTGCAATGATTGCCACAAGCGTTGACCATCCCGCGTCTGCTGTGAATCCATGGAAAAACAGAGGTGTCCAGGGATTCCAAGCCACGTCTGCACATGCCGCAAAAACGTACCTGCTGGAAGCGGCCTGCTGACTGTTCGTCCCTGCTGCGAATGAACTGTAAGCTCCACGTGATCCGGGATCTGGCGGCGTTGTCGCTTGAATGTGATCCCGACTTCGTAGATGACGTCTTGATGCGCCTGGAAGAAGGGAGGTAGGGCCACTCCGTTGGAGAAGATCTGGACGTTGGCCCCGTGTCCTTGCAGATCCTTCTCAGCGGCCATGATTTCCCTGATCGTTGTGGGCTGGCAAACCATGGAAAAAGAAAGCACATCTTCATGAGCGAAAGTGAGCTTCCGAGTGAAGAACATGCTCTCCGTGACCCATAGGTTGTGCGCCTCCTGAATGACTCGATTGAGCCAAGACTGGATGCACTCTTCCGGGGTTTGTACTTGTCGATCTGTGCCCTGGCGTGCCCCCTGGATCACATGTGCTGCCACCCAGGCACTCTGTAGCGGCGTAGCCATCTGTCCCAACATGCAGAGTGCCGCTCGGGGTGGTTGGATCATCTTGAAGCTGGCCGGGATTGCGTTCCAAAAACACACCTCTCCGGGATGCGGGAAACGCTTCTGACCTGTGTGCTTCGAAGTGATGCCGAAGCCCCGAAGTCCGCCATGCTGCAACCATTCATCTGAAAAAGCCTTTGCTCTGCATCCACATGGGCAGTGCTTGAGTGCGACTCCCCAGGAGTGGACCGCCGTTGGAACCTTGCTCCAGTAATCAAAGTCTCTGCTGTCGTTGCCATACCTGCGGTCCTGATAGTGCTGCAGCTCGATGGCATCCCATTCCAACTGAGATTCTTCATCTGGTGTCCAGAGCGGCCAGTTCTTCATGAAATGACCGGGAAGTGGATCAGGGCTGGTCTTGTTCCAAGCTTTGAGTCCTTGTTGGAGGAGAGCCTTGGGGATAATGAGTGCCCACCACCTCTTGCGACGGCTGACCCATCGATCTGCAAGATCAAGTACTACGTCACGTAGCGTAAACTGTGTGGCCTTCATGAACTTCTTGAGCTGTGTGGCGACGGGCCTGGAGTTGCGGGCTTCTGGCACGCATTCGAGAAGCAGACCAGTTGAGCCCAACCTCCATGCGGCAAGAAGCAAGGCCGGTAGTGTATCAAAGCGGGGGTCGCCATCTTCGCGTTGACGCCCTTGGCGAGAAAATGGCTGGCATGGAAAGCCTGCTAGTCCCACGAACTTCTTGCCACTGATAATGGCGTGAATTTTCCTGACCGTCTCAAGCTCCTTGATGTTGCCCTTGATGATTGGCGCCGAGCTGTTGAGCCTTGCCGCTGCACATGCCAGCCAGTTCCGGTCTGTGTGCCCGAGGATCTGCATGCCAGCATGTGCCGCACCCCATCCGAGGGCCCCGATGCCGGAGCAGAAGTCCCACGCCTTCTCAAAGTCGCGAACGCCCTCCGAGATGTGCGGGTAGGCCGAAGCATCCTTGCCCAGTGTGAACAGCGGAAGGCCACCGAAGGAACCCACATTCGTGATGCCATAAAGCGTCCAAACCTCTCTGATCATGCCGAAGGAGCAATCCACAAGGAAATCCTGATGCGGCGACAACCCATGCAACCGAGGCCCTCCTCCCAATGCTCCTGCACGACCGCCACCAAGGTGCCGGAGCCACCGACCACCGTCGGCAAAGCCGGGTCCATGGCGGACCAGAAAAGAGAACGGTCCCTCGGCGTTCCGTGGTGAACGGCGCCACCTCTGGAAGGCACTCGAGCCAGCGCTTATCCCCCCCCCATTAAAACAACAACTTCTGATGTTTTCCTTTCGTTTCGGTTCCTGCTTGCAGCCGGTTTGGAGCGAGGTGACCATTTGCGCATGCATCACGCAGTGGTTCGGGTCGATCGAAGCCTTCGAAGAATATGTCCAAACAGATGTGACTGACGTCCTGGTCCACCAGCTCCAGTGGTGCACATTTCGCTACGCCTGGAGTTGCGCTCTCGGCATGCCGGCCTTCTGGGCCTGCCTTGACGTCGCCTCCATCCCCTACCAACACGGGGATGTCAACCACGTGGTCGCGTGGCTGAGCTACGGCCTGACCTGTGCGCTGCTGGTGTTTCCGTGCCTTGGCTCCTGGAGCAAGTTCTTCACCCACCTCTTCCGTCACCGTGGCCGCTCTTGGCTCCATGAGGCAGGGGGGTTGGAACCCATGAACGTTGACCCCGGATTTTTTTTCGTCAACTGCAGGTTAAAAAAAATGGGGTGGGGGCCCCTCCAAGAGTGGTCTGACTCCCCACATGGACACCCTGTTGAACTGGGGTTTCATTCATGCGGGGTCAAGATACGTGAAGGGTCTCCCCTTAGAACTCGTCCCAAAGCGGGGGGCGAAGGGGACCCCGTGAGGCAATGCAGACATTTCTGGTGATCCTTTGCACCTTGCCCTTCGCCGCCTACGCAGTGGCTCGGGCGCGTCTTTTTCTTTCTTTTTTGTATTCTTCCAGTGGGTTCCTCGCAGCTTTTGACTATTCACCCACACATGGGTATTGGGGCATGGGGCATGGCGGGGCGGACTTTTTGTCTGAATCCTCCCCAAGCTTTCAGGAAGCTGTTCGAAGCACACTCCGAGAACCTCTTCGAAGCGCTTTTAATAGGCCTTTTGCTTAAGGCAACCTGGGGAGAGAGATGCCAGTCACATCGCTCACACTCCCGCTCGACCCGGGACATGGTTTTGTGGGTGCATTCTTTTGTCGGCTTTTGACCGGGACCACGATCATGGCTTGGAGTCTGACAATAAGCCGGCCTTGGCCCCGCCCAAGAGGCAACACTTACTTTTTAACGAAGACACATTGCCAGCGCGCAATTTCTAGGGCTCTGGTCTCTTTGGCAGGCCTTCAATGAGCAAGTTGTTGTTGCAGCCCGACCTCGATGGTTCGGTCTCCAGATCCGACGGGTGGCCTTTGAGCTCTAAAGGAAGCCCTTAGAAGCAAAAGGCCTCTTGAAGTTCAGCTTTCAAAGGCTGAATGCAAAAGCGGCCCATGTATGAACTCCTGGTATGAACCCCTAGTTTACGCGTCAATGAACCGTCAGTTCTGGCTGAAGTCTGGGAAATCAGCGCTTGCAGGGTCTAAAATGGCCATGGGTTCATATATTATTAGGCTTTGAAGCTTGACATTTTTCAGTCTGAGCAGATGCGAGAGACGTGGAGCTCAAACTTGTCACCCCGGGGCAAAGCAGTCAGATCCTTGGAAAAGACTTCCTACACTTGCGACCACCAGTATTATAGATCAACAGGTATGTCCATACAGATGTGTATATGGCCTACGTATCTACATATGGCAGGTACCCCGAGGGCATAGTTCGTGGTGCGGTCTGTCGTTTTTGCGCTGCCTCCAAATGATAAGCACACGCACTCCATTGCACCCGTGCAGCGCGCACGCTCTTTGTTGGACAGCTCTGTCACATGTCAGAGGCGAGGTGACAGAAAGGCTGTTTTGCAGTGCCACGTGAAATGGACCTGGTAAAAGCCGAAAAGCACAGCGCGTTTTGCAGGAATTGTCTGCGGGGCTTGCTGAAAACCGTTCAAAGTTGCAGGGTGGCCAATCAGCCGCTTCCCAAGTTTACCCTTCAAACCACTGCAAGGTGACTAAGACTGCAGCTGGGATTTCTGGGGACGCTCTGAGGGTGGGTGCGAAGCAAAGAGAAAAGGCATCACCCACCCTCCCTAAGTCTTGCCCATGAAATGGTCGCTTGAGTAGCGCGGGAGGTTGGTGCCATGATGTTGCCCCTGACGCAGATGCGGCTTGCATCTCCTCCTGCACAGTGGCCTCTCACCTACCAAAGTGATTCGCACGCTTGTGGTTTTGTCACGTGGTTGTCTGAAAATTGGGGGAGCCCCCAAAAGACACACCCAGATTCAGTGGGCTTCGCATTCGAATCCGTTTTGCTTTGTGGGTTTCCCTCTAAGTTTTCCCTCGAAGAATGGCCAATGAATGTTGGGACACTCCTCATATAAATATATGGTACGTATCATATATATTTTTGGGGTGGGCACGCAGGAAACATATATGCAGAGGTCCTTTTGATGCCTGTGAAGTTCTTTTTCTTGTGCCTCCAAAGCCACAGTTTCACAGTTCGGCCCGAACCCTGTTTGGTTCTCGGTTCTAAACGCCTTTGCGGTTTCTTGGTCGCACGCGAGGCTTGCATTTCCATGCTTGATGCTGCCGCTGCTGCTGCTGCAATGTTGTGTTCCCAAGCGGCCAGATCTCCGGCTCAGAGCTGGGAGTCAGCCGGCGAGCCAAGCTCCCAAAGAGGAAGTGGCGGTGTGAATCCCGGGGGCTCCCAATCCCCAGCCACGAAACAAGGGGCATCTCTCCGGGCTGTTCAAAGGTAATCCGGCGGTAATCCCTTAATCCTTACCTTCGGTTACGCAACGGGCTCCCTTTTGCAGTGGCTTCCCGTTTTGGGATTATGGATTAGGATTGGCGAACCCCCCATTTTGAACAGCCCAGCCTCTGCCACGATCAGAAGGATGAGGGGGAACAATGTATCGGGATCTCACTTCAAAGTTGGGGATGGGGATGCCTGAGGCGCACTTTTTGTTTTGCCTGCGCGGGCTGATGAATCAGCAAATGCGTGCCGTTTTTTTTCCTCCTCAGTAACCAGACAGCGAGTAACAACATTTGTGAGCACATGGACTCTCTCTGGCCGACCCATTTCCATCGCGGAATTGACATGTGTCTTGGTGGCTTCCAGCCGATCCCTCGGGCTTAAACAACTTCTTGTGTTTAGTGGGAGGTTCCGAATTTAACCCACTAAACGTTCGTCACTTGTAGGGGATCTGAGGAAAGAGGTGCCAACCGTACTTTTGTTTGGGTATGCGAGCCGACTGTTACTCGCTCCCATCCGTCGTGTCCGCGGCAGCTTCAGGTGAGGCTTGAGACCAAAAGGGCGCCGATGGGCACAGGTGTTGGAATTGCCATAGGGGTCCTCCCGTCACCTTGTTTCTCATGATTGGTTGCCCTGTTTCAGCACCCAGGCCGGAGCTCTGATTTTTTTTGGTACAGTTCTGCACCTCAAACCCATTCCCGGACCAAGCTCTTTTTTGCCATATTCTTTGGAGATCCTGATGCTGCCAGCCTCCAACGTCGTGTCGGCATGTGTTTTCACATGGGTTTCCGTGCAGCTTCTGTTGGCCAGCTTTGGTTTGTGGATGTGGCAATTCCAAGTTGGCGGCTTTCCGTCATGTGCTCTAAGCCTCGCCCGGTTAACTTCTGGCGACACCGCCAACATATTCGCCTGGTTCTGGCCATGCCCCCCTGCGCACTTCCAGCATTTGTCGGCAAATGTCCATGCTTCTCAAGCGGCCGGCCGGAGTAGAAGGTGGCAGCCTATGACAACTGCTTCTTATGCATTTCCCCTCTTAGCAGGCCAGAGTCCACCTTGCAAATCTGTTGTTTTTTTCTTTCTCAGAACCACCTGAAATCAAACATCCTTTTCAGGCTGCAGGTAAACAAAAGCTCCGCGCCACGTTGCGCAAAGCACGACCTTCAACGCTCCGCAGGCGTCCTGGCCCGAAGGAAATGGCGGCCCATGTGGCCCTGTGGGGCTCATGTGGCATGGCCCGCGGGGTTTTGGCCTTGCTGGTGCTGACATGTCTTCCAGCCGATGCCTCAGGAGCGCAATGCCCGCGCCACCAATAACATCCCCACCCAGCGGAATGATGGAATTGGGGGAGGGGGGTCGCCCTGCAATTCCAGTTGTGGTTGCATTTTCCCTTCCCACCCCCTTGCCCCTTGTGGTGGGGGGGATCCAATTGGATTCGTTGTGATGTTACTCGTGGACTCGTCCTTCGCAGCCAAGGACATGCTTGGCATGCCAGCTGTGAGGACAGCAGCAGCGAAAAAGATCGAGCCTTGGCATTTTCAGCAGGCCTTCGGAGTGGTTCGCGGTTGGCTCGAGTTCCGAGGGTTCCGGGCGTTCTTGGGAGTGCCGCCTGTCTGCCACCCTTGTCTTGTTTTCATTGCGGGTTTGGGAGGGGTTCAATGTGACACAATGTTCATGTTGGAGGTTCTCGAGTGGTCTTGAGTGGCTTGAGCCTCGGGATGAAGCCGATTTGTGTTCACCAGGGGCTCGCATTTGTTCCAACCGCACATTCACGAAGCATGTGTGAAAATAGTACAGTAGTTTTGGTGGTTGTGATGATCGTGACGGTGGGTGGTTGTGATGGTTGTTCGATGGCTGCAAGAATCCGAGCCGAGGCGGGCCCTATCCGCATTGCAGGGCCAAAGAAGGAGAATCAATGGAGGCCTGGCTTGCTATGCGCAAGTCGGAAGTGAGTGCAAGGGATGCTTGGGGCTTGCCTTGCCTCAAACTTGTAATTGCGAAGTGTGGCATGTCATGGTGTAGTTTGAGTCTTGAATGTGAGCAAAAACCAAACTCTGCAATAGGAACATTAGGATCTGGGAAGGGGGGGCTAGCTGATTGGATCCAACAATCGCACTCGCAATGATTCAATGGTTGACTTGCAAGCAGCGATGTATGCCTGGATGTCTTGGTCATTTCGGGGAGGTATTTGAGCAAATTCGGCTATGATATTGGTGACCTGGACGCACTACGAAGCACCACTTGTCAAGCTGTTCTTGACCGTCAGCCCGTATTTTGCTTTGCCTTGGCTTCGCGTGCGTGCAAGAATCTTTCCAAGAAGGTATGATTCGCGAGCAGTTTGGAAACTCTGCGTATGCTTGTGAGCCATTGGCGTCTCTATGGACAAGCGAGCAACCACAACCTCACAAACAGACGTGTTTGTCTTCATTATCTGCTCGTTTGTTTTTGGACATGGCAAGAAACAAGAAACGCGACAAGAACACTAGGTGTGCGCCCAGCATTCCTGACGGTTAAGGTACTGGCAATTTCCAGTTTCGCTTCCAACTGGCTGCACCGAAGAGCATCCCAGAAGCTGCGGTCCTCCAATTGGAGGTCTACCTTGCCACCCGGTGATCATCCGGAGGGGGAGTTGCGACGGTTTTCCACGTCGCTCATGTGATCCTTGCGCGGGTTTTCAACGAGACACTTGTGCATCTTGGAGATGGGATCCTGTACGGAATGGAAAGTCTAAGTCTTGTCTCGGCTTTGGTTCTGGCAGAAAGCGGTTTGCAGAGCATGTCAGAAATAAAGTTCGCTTTCGGGTTAGTGTTCTGGAGCCATCGCATGAATGAGCTCAGCAGGACAGCCCAATGAGTCGCTGCAAGGGGCTTCCCTCATGAATCGGGCGTTGGGGTTGGGAGATCCGCGGCCTCCGGCACATGTTTACACACGGCTCGAAACCAAAACTCAGCCGAAGTAGGGAGGCCTCCTCCTCGGCTGCCGCGCGTTTGCACCTCAAGTAGCCGCCAGTGCCGGGGTTTTTGTCTTGCTGCGATAGCTAGGGGATGACCTGTGGGAATGAAGCTGGGGATCATGGGAATGAACCTACGGATTCCCTGAAAGGAAAGCCCATAGACGGTTTTCTTCTGAGGGTCATTTCCCATTTCCCATTCCCTGGCCTATTGAACCAGCAAGTGGTGGTTCGTTCGATCCAGCGGCGGCCCTGATCCTGGGGGCTCATTTTGAACATCGACGGGGGGTTTGGCTGGTTCTCGAAGGAGAAATGGAATGACCCCCCAATTAAAAAACCATCCCCTGCTTCCTTTAAGGGAATTACCCTTCCGGTTCATCCCCAAAACCTGGAAGGTGATTTTTTACTGAGAGCTGCGTGTATCGATTGGCCTTGCCAGAGGGAGCTAAGGAGCTGGCTAGAGTGCTGTAAGGACATGACGGTGGTTGTTATAGAATCCCCACCTTCAAAATGGAATTGGGGGAGGGGGGTGACCCCTGGAATTCTATTTGGGGTAACCCATTTTCCCTTTTGTGGGGAAAGACTGAATAAATTAAATTGTGGGACCCCCCACCCCCTAAATTTTCCCCTCCCCCTCAAGGTAGCGGGGATAGAAAATGCAACCACTGCGCCCAGGACGAGCACTGGGCCGATGTCGAGGCGGAGCCAAACCTCTGCGAGCGGCAGAAGCGGGCGAAGCAGGCAGGGTAGCACAAGGAATGTTTTTTCTTCTTCTTCCTTTTTTAACATTGAAGATAAACCAGTACAGCCCCATGTGCAGCCCCAAAACTAGAGCATTCATAAGGATAGTACAAGGGATGTTGGCTAAAAGCATTGGTCGCTGGTCCACGCCTTGCTGATTAGGACCGTCATGTTTGCATTCTTCCAAAGAATCAGTTTTGCGTTTGCAGTGGTGGGCAGGTAAGGGCATTGCCACTTGAGCTCGCCATCGTTTTACAGCCCTCCACTAGCGTGTCTGCTTTCTCCTTGGCGGGCGATCAAAGCATGGAACGAACCTGGACGGACTGTGGCTTGCGGTGCAAATGGGTATGGGGGGTTGTCCACGGTGTCATGAAGCTTGTGGTGGATCACTCGGGGTTTCTCCAACCACTTCTGTGATAACAGGGAATCTCCCCCCCAATTGGGCAGTTAGTCTTTGGGCGTAGCCCTCTCTGTTGTATCCCGGAAGTGGGTTCCCATTTCCCACGGCCCTGGAGTCATCATTGTGGTTGCGACTGTGCCTACTTGGGGCATCAAGCTCCACACCCGCCAGGGCAAGACAGGGTTTGTACACGTTGGCGGGCATGTGTCTGGGCATCGCTGGCAGACTTGGGAGGAAAGTGGCAGCACCCTGAGCAACTCATGAGCTTGCGTGGCGCAATTTTCCCATCCTGCTCGAAGCAAGCAAGCGAGTTTCCTTTTTTGGGTCCACACGTCCTCTAGGTCTCCAAGTAGTGCCCTTTTACCCTTTTTTGGGGGAGGGTTCCCCTACTAAAATTGCCCACAGGCAAAAGGGAACCCCAATTCTTTCCTCTCTACTGGAGGACCTAGTCGTTCTGAGGGGTGGAACATAAGTTTGGTTTGGTCAGCTCGTTGGCAACGCCAGATTCGGAACATCTCCATTGGCCCCGGCTCCAACTGGACGGACTGGTCCAGTGGCCTCGCGCCCAGAACAGACTGAAGGGCCCCTGGTCTCACTAGAAATCGGCTAGGGTCGCGTTTCGACCTCCGATCTGTTGAAAGAAATTCGATGGTTCAACATTCCATGGTGGTAGTCAGGCCCAGGGCCACTCATATACGTGATCCTTTGAAAGAACGGATGGTTCGACGTTCCATGGGGTAGTTGCACAGGCCCAGGGCCACTCATTTAGGAGCGGGGCGAGAATCTCAAACAGACGGGCACCCAAAGGCCGGTGAAGCACAACCAGTCACATTTGGGGGCCAGCGCTAGCGCTTGTCACAGACGGGGCTGGCGTTGCCCTACGCGATGGAGAATTCCAAGACGTTGATAGGTCAATTGCATTGTATCCAGGAGGCAGGCGCTTCGATCTGATCGCCCTATCTGAAGGCCATTTTTGGGAGAGATGAATAACGATGCGGAACTCGAGTTGTGAGAGGTTCATTGGGTCACCAGTGGGCCCCTGAATGGTTGGTGTCGCAATTTTTTGCGTGGAGCCCAGGAACTTGGCCAGAGGTTCGGCTCCCACAAAACGGGTGTTTGCCCAGGCACTCTCAGCCAGAGCGTGCGACCTCACATCTGGCCTCCTGGCGAAATGCCTTTGGCGGTTGTTTTTGAAGGTTTCTGTGGAGCTGGAAGGGGCTGAAGGAGGGCCTGGTTTTTCATATGCATGCAGCCATGGCGAACATGCACCTTAGAGATCCCATTGTTTGACACATGTTGGGTGTTTCGGTCGAGAAATATGTGACCAACCAAGGGCGAAAAAGGCGGGCTTTGACGGGATAGGCATTGTTTGTAGACCAAGCAGAGCACCCAATCATGTTTGAGAGAGGAAAGAGAACACAGAGAGCTCCGAGTACCCGCTAAGTATTGGAGCCCAGGGCTGCAGCAGCAGTGCACAGTTGTGAACATGAGAGCGTTGGCTTCCAGCGTTTCACTGGGGATAGTTTCACGTGTATTTGAATAAAACATGTTGTCTGCGCTTGTCGGTCACTAGCATCCGCTCTGTGTCGCGATGGCTCGTCAAGTTGCTCTTCTTGCGGGGGGCCAGTCACTACGCCCAAATTCAACTCTAAGGTCCTGTCTTCCTTGGGCGCGTAGAGGCAGATTGGAGCGGGGAAAGGGCTTCCATCCCCGGTCGCCCTTTCCATGAGCAGATGGCCAGATGGCTAGCTGCATTCGAATGTAGGGTCAGAGGATGTCACCCACCTGTATCCTGCAGTCACAGCCTGGGGCATTGAACGCCAAGCGCCTGCAGCTCAAGGTATTTTGTCATCTCCGACTGCAAGATGTCCCTCTCCAACTTCACGCACCTCTCCACCTCACGCGTGCTTTGAATGTTTCGCATTGTAACCTTATTTTGTTTTTGGCAGCAAGGAGTTGTCTACCACCCCGAACCCTCAACCAGGATCAAACCAAAGGTTGGCAGGATTGCTGCTGGCCACGTTGCCACTGGGGGATCAAACGTCGCCGGGGCGCCATTGCCTTGTCACTGAGTCATTTTCTTCGGCCAAGTGTGGCAGTAAGATTTGCTCCGTGCGGTTCGATGTTTTATTTTTGTTCTTTCTTTTTTTCCTCGTATTTTTTTAAACGGCTGTGCTGAACACATACCCTCCCACCTGACAGGGGGTCCGGGAAGACCATTGTCCTTTTAGAGGGACCTCGCGTCAGGTTCCAAGTCAATTGGTGGGAGGGTAGCAGACATCACGCAGGTAGCAGTTCGTAGTTCCGACGACTATAAACCTATAAACAACATGTTAGGGGGCTGAGTACGGCACGAGAAGCGGTGACTTTGGTGCGCGAAGCCGACGCACGCATCATACCCCTGGTCGTTGGAGCCATGAACAGGTGTCTTCAGAGTTGGGTCATGTAATTATTTGACCATTTCCCAGGCCTTAGATAATTGGTGCAACTCTGAATGCTTGGGGATAAGTAATTGAATTGGTGGGAACACGCTTGGGATAAGTTGCAGGAACAATTTCCATCAGAGTTGGGTCGGTGAAATTAAATGGGCTTGAGGATTGGTGCAACTTTTTTTCTCTCCATGCGGCCAATGCGCGTACCAACCAGCCGACAACTGGCCTACAGGCACCGGCTGAAGTTCGAGTTCCACGCGACGCAGCAGAACGGCTCGGAGTTTAGCATTGAGATGAAGCGCGGATGGCATTAGCAGTGAGTTGGCTTGAGTTGGCATGGATTCCATAATTCCAAGAGCATAGTGAATCTTGCCTTATCTGGCCTGACCTCACCTTTTAGGTCTCTACTAAAGTTCTCTACCTATCCATCTATCCATCCATCTCACTACCTCCATGCACGTGTGGCGTGAGAAAATGAATGCATTCGCAGTCGCGTGGGCGATTCGGCGGCCTCGATGCAGGGCGCAACAGGTGCAACCGGGAGACGAAGCCAAGTCTCTGTCAGTTGCTTTTGTCTTGCGCAGCCGTCCTGCGCGTCCACAGTCTGATGTCGCGCCAGACGAAGCTTTTTAACAAGCAGCACGCCTACCACTTAACTTGATTGCATCTCGGATTGTTGAGGCGCATTGGGGCTCAGACAGTCAGGCTGGGGCAGAATTGGTCCAATTTCTCCTAAGGAAAGGCATGTTGCTCGCGAATGTGTCTTGGCATGCAGCTTGCAGCCTGCGATTTCGATTTGGGTGTGAAACACTTTGGCCCGCAGTTTCCTCTTTAGTGACCTGAAGGCTTGCTTCGTTTTGGCTTCGCCTCCAAATGGTGGGGGGGCTTTGTGTGAGGATGACTCCTGATGCAAACTACTGTGCAGTTCGCGGGGTGGCCTGTCGCTTCCCTTGGTTTTGGTTGCTGGGCTTCCTGCTCAAGGATGGACGTGTGCCATGTGTCAACACCGCTGTTCCCAGAGGATCCTTGGCTCACTTTGACACGCAGCTGCCCATCCTGGAAGCGGAATCGCAAACCGACCGGGAGACTGGCGCTAAAATCTACCAAGAGCTCTCGTTGGATTACCTCATGAGGAAGCCACAGGTAGAGCAATGATTGTTGGATGTTCCAAGTTCCCGATCAAAACTCGGAGGCTTGTACTTCACTAAAACAGGCCCAAGCATAAGACCAGCTGAAGGCACAGTAATGTGGACACAAATCAGACTATTTGGATCTCGCCGCCCTCGGTTCGGGAGCACACAAGTGATTCAGGGATGCACTTGTCAGGACTAGCCCCCCTCCAACTATCTGGGATTGCAGAAATCGAAGTACGCAGAGTTTGTCAAGCATGCACTCGCGGGTCACAATCTGCTCTCCAAAGAGCAACCGCTGCAAAACGGCCAATGTCTGAAATGTGTCTCGAGAGCCTTGGGGAGCTTGATGTCCACCTGGCGTCTGGCAGTCTCAGGCTCTCTTCCTAGCATCATTCGTGGCGTTCCTGTACTGGTTCGTGAAGAGGAGCGGTCGACTGGTCGCGCCATGTGCAAGTCCAGCGTTTGTCTCTTGGACTTGCTGGGTGAGCGCCTAGGGGATAATCACGTTGGGTGATTATTCTTTCCCAAACTTTCGCCACGGGGGGGGGGGGGGGGGGGGGCTCGACTCGCAATGTCAACGCAGTCAACTGTCGGAAAGGTTGAACCATGTAATCGCACCCCCGGAGAATACAATACAGACCCCCCCCCCCCCCCCACAAAATGGTGAAATAGCCCTCTGCCTAAGACAATGCTGTCCATTGATCGGGCCAAAATGGGTTTCTCTTTGGTCCTTGTTCAAATTGTCCCCCTCCTTTGCCAGGCAACCCATCAGATCAGGATTTGCTACTAGAGGATCTTTTCTGGAATCTCTCAGGCAAATTGGAAGATCAAACAAAGGCTTTGGCGAGCCTCAATCCGTTGGCTCAGATGTGCCTAATTCTCAGTGTCAATCTGTGAATCGGAGACAGGATCAGTCAGGTTTGGAGAGAGGTTCACGAGGACTCCTGCAGATTTTGTGGAACATTGACCAGTGGCCCGAATAGGCTTTTGCCTGCCAGAGTTTGAGCGTTGCAAGGTGCATCCATGTTTTTGGTTGGAAAGCCAAGCGGCTTCTGAATTCTTTGGGCCTGAGGCACTGAGGCAGCCATTTCCGAACAAGAGCAGGTCCGACACTTGTATGGCCGCAGGAATCATCCCATCCGAACTTCCCGAGGCCCTCGGAACCAATTGCCCTGGACCATTCTGAGAAGCGGGATCCTGAGGGTGGCAACCTGTAGCTTCACCATGTTTCAACAAAGCTTTCAGGTCACCCCGGAATTTCAGACCAGAGTTTATGTCACCAGTCAGGCTCGGACAGCGGTCCAATCCAATCTTGGATTGGATCGTCTCAGTTGTTTCGGCCGGACGCATCGGTGCAGGACGTTAGCTTTCGCCAAGAGCGCTGGCTATGTCCACCCCGTGATCTGGACTCTAGCGTCCGGACGCTGGGCAGGAAGAAGCCATGTGGGAGTTTGAGGTATATACCCGCGGATTTCATTCAAAGGGGCCCATTCGCCTCGGGCCGGCCGCATTTGAGGCTGAAAAGGCTTCAGAAGGTTTGGCCACGCAAGTCGGCTGAGTGGGAAGGTCAGAGGCATCAGGCCATTATTTTGACTGTTTCTAAACTGGGGTAGTTGTTTCCCGAAGCAACTTTGACAATGGTAAAATCATGGGGCCAGGCAGGATCCCTGTCATCGTCAAACGGGGAGTCGAGCCTTTTTCAAGGGTAGCACTCCGGGAAGGAGAATGCCTCCCCGAAGGAGGTAACGTTCCCAGTGTGCGAAGAATGACTCAACTCATTAGAAAGCTGGAATGAGGTGCCCTGCCCGCAACGGCGGAAACAGTTTTCTTTCTCAGAGGCAAGAACTTGGTTTTGAGTGTTTCTAAACCAGCGTGAAACCTGTGACCACCCCACCCTCGCAAAACCTGTGACCATCCCGCCCTACACCCTCCCACGCTGGCCCCTACGCTGTGTTGGGCATCCTGCCTTGTTTTTCCCGGCCCTTGGCTAAGGAATGATCACGCAGTTCATTGCGCAGGCGCGATGTTTTGACGGGATGGTTGAGGGTCACTCCGCTTCAGTGGCAGAGGCACGTTTCTCAAGCGCAACAATCACAAAAGCAGCAACCCAGTTGCAGATCTACGAACGCTTGGTACTTTTTGGATTCGGCGCTTTGCCTTCGCTTTCTGATCTCGCCGATGCTTGGAGCCGCGGCAGCATGTCGGACCGAAGCTTCTTGGACACAACCCTATGTGTCTTTCAGGAAGCCGGGCAGGTTCCATACTCGCTCTTGGGACGCCTGGAAGGCGTTGCCTCAGAAAAGATCAACGTATCGTGGGACTATCACTCAAAACAGATTGCACCCGACACCACCGGCGGGGGAGGGCATTTTACAGGGGGGATGAAACCACCAGCGGACCGCAGGTTTTGGTCCATGTTTCCACTTACCAGGGCCACCCATTTTGGGGTTACCACATTTTTGACCCAGGTCCATGTTTCCACTTACCAGGGTTCCATTTTGGGTACACATTCTTGACCCAACAGATTGCACCCGACACCGGTGGGGGAGGGCATTTTGTTGGGGGTGGGGGATTCGCCAGATGATGCACACGGTGCACCTCTTCGCTTACAAGTACGACGGGGACGGCCTTAAGGCGTGCGAGGTCCTCTCCGAGATCCTCTTCATGCTGGCGCAGGCGGTGAGTTTTTCGTTGGGGTCGCCGCAGGGTGCGTTAGCCTCTTCTAGGTCCCCCAGCTAGGTGCCCTCTCTCCCCCCTTTTTTGGTTGGGAGGGTTCCCCTACTAAAATAGACCACAGAAAAAAGTGGGCACCTTTATTCTAACCTCTCTATTGCAGGACCTAGTCTTCATTTTTTGAGGGAGGTGAGATCTTTTGAGGATCCTGCCATTTGGTTTGTAGCCACCTGTCGAGGTCGTCCAATCAGATTCTTCTGGCTCCCGGTTCCTCTCGACTTGCTTCCCATGGGCCTTTTTCGCCAGGAGCGGAATAGGAAAGGGATGAGGACTTGTGTTGCTCGAATGCTGGAGAGGGCCATGAGTAATGCGGGAGTTGTAGTATTGCTGGCCTTGATGGGCTTCTTTGTGAGCCTGTCAAAGCTCGATCTTTCAAGCAACTTGTCGTAAGAAGTTCGCATGTTCTGGCCGGTGTTTTTTTTGTTTGAGACCGGGAATGGCAACTCTTGACTCTAGGAAAGGAAGTAGTACAGGCATGCAGTGGCGAAACCTGAAGCTGCTTTTCCGTTTTGAAAGGGACAGGGATCGAAGGAATCGCGCAGGTTGAAGTTGTGGGTGCCAGCGAGAAGTGGCTTTGTCGCTTATTGGCTGGCCATGGCCTACTCGCAAAGAGTATTGAATAGGCAAGCTCAGACGAAGTAATTCGCTCAGGAAGCCTACTGTTGCATCCTTGTAAGGCCCTAAGTCCGAGGGAGGGGGCCAAAAGGTGGCTGCCGAACCGCCCGGTGAAGAAACCTTTCAGATTGGAGTGCTAACCTTGCAGGCAGCGCTTTACTTGTTGCACCGCTGCGGTCGATTTGTCTCAGACCTTCTTTATCTCTTTAGATGGCATCATTGCATCAATTTAAATTACAACTATGTGAACCTGGTATAGGTGTACTTTTCCCATGGGTATCAAAGTTGGAATTGTCCCATTGTCATCGTGTATGTGAATGGTAACAAACAAGAAGTTGCCCCAGGGTTCAACTTTGGCAAGTCGTTGTTTTGTCTTTCGGGGATTGGGGGATCGAGGGGACGCTAGGTCCCCCAGTAGTGCCCTTTTCCCCACTAAAATGGACTACAGAAAAAAAGTTGGCACCCTTATTCTAGCCTCTCTACTGCACCCGTATTCTAACCTCTCCATTGGAGGGCCTGGCACATGTTGTGAAGCTGATTTGAGGTGTAGACAAGAAGTTGCTTTGTTTTTGGGGATTCATTTTGGGATTGCGGGGCTTCCTGTGAAGCTGATCTTGGTGGCTCCCGAAGGCCATCCGGATCCTTAGCTTCTTAGCCTTTTAGTGTTTAGTGGTAGTCTCCGAATGTAACCCACTGCAAGTTAGTTAAGCTTTTCGTAGTTTCCGAGTTTCACCCACTAAAAGTTCGACTCACTTTTCGCGTGGGATCCGAAAACGAAACGGGCAGCTGAGTGACGTGAGGTGATCCAAACCTCTTTGCTGATCCTGATCGCTCTGGGCTACACGCTGCTCCAGAGCAAGATCGGGGAGCTCGACCTCATGAGCCCCGCCGGGGATCGCGCCGGGGGAGGGAGGGCGTGGGAGCCTCCCATGGGGAGGGGGGGGGGGGGTAGAGAGGCGGAAAGGTCTCGTTTTTGGTCACAAAGAAGAGCTTCTCCGTCCCGGCTTTTGCCAATCCTCTTTTCTTTGAAGAGCTCTCATGGAGGTTTTTGTTGCTTCAAGCGCAGGGGGCGCATGTGGAACCAACAGCCTGTCCCTTCTCCATTGGAAGCTTCTGGCGGTTTTCTTCGAAGAGCCCGGGGGTCCAAAATGAACAAAGCGACCGCACCAGTCATCCGCAGATCTACGAGAGCAGCCAGATCACAGCTCGACCCGGCGTGCGCCGATGAGAAGTCTTCGGTCGCATGACCGGTAGAAGTTATCGTAGCCCCCCCCCTTCTCTGAGGCCATGTAGGTCCAAGTTCGAATTACTCTTGGCGCATGGTAGTCACTGGGAGGGTGATGCTTCGAGATTGTCGATCTGAGTAAGGTGTGCGAGGCATTTGGGCTCAAACATGGTGACTGCACTGAGGGCTCTGGGCAGGCTGTTTGCTCCGGCAAAGGTCAAGCCAGAGGATCGCCTGCCCGTCCTGCCAGATGCAAAAGCCAAAGGAAGAAGTCTCACAAGCCTCAGCGCCTGGACGGAGTCGGATATCGAGCAAGATCTTGTGCAACCTCTGGAGCGGGAGGCGCTCGTCGAAGAACCCAAGGAGCGGAAATCCCGGGCCAGACAGGAGGCGCAAAGAGAGCAGCTGCGGCAGTTTTTGCAGTACCACCACTTCACGGAGGTGAACTTGCCCAGGGCAAGTTCGAGCGAGGAGATCTATCCCATCCACGTGGCAGCGTGGCAGGGGAACTACCAGATGCTGCGCGTGCTGCTGGCCGCTGGGGCGGATCCAGGCCAGAGAACCTCCAAGAACCGCACGGCGGAGGACTTCGCGTGGATGGGGGCTGACGCAGCTGAGGGTGACCCAAACCCGGGCTGGAGCTCGGCCTCGCATGACCTCGTGCTGGGCCTGCTCCAGGGCCAGGTGCAGATTATGGGCATCCGCGACCTGGCGAAGCTCCATGTGCCAGTCGCCTGATCCAAGGCTCAGGGCAGGACGTTGGCTCCTGCATGCTCTTGCAGCCATGTTCACATAGATGTTCATGGCTGGGCCCCCCCGTTCCCTAAGACACCTAACTCGGCATTTGCTTAGAGCTGAGAGAACTCAGATGACACTTTGGCAGAAGGTTCCAAGCGGCGACTCCCCAGGTCCCAAACTTGGCTCCGTGTGCCTTTTTCAGTGTGGGGGAACGGGGCTGCCAGCGGCATTTTTTCTAACGCATGGGCCCTTTCCGCATAATGTTCTAGTCGGGGGGGCGCATTGCGATCGATTTACTCAGTGCAATGCTGACAACCTCTGATGGGAGGGCGCGTCAGCAGCAAAGTTGCATTGGCAACCTTGGCAAATTTATGCGTCATACGTTGAACTTTTTCAGCATGTCTCCCATGGGAGACCTATGGGGTGGGTTTGTGCTCTCAGTACCTTCGAAGTGACGTTGTGCTTCGTGGCAGCGACGAAAAAACAACCAATTGCTCTTGGCCGATGCTGGTTGCATTTCACGCTCAAGTACGTCCTTGCAGCAAACTTGTTGGGCCTCTTCTTTTTTTTCTCGTTCTCTCTATTTTGGGGGCGGGGGCTTGTTAATTTCTGCACCACAAACTTACAACATGAATCTCAGTTTGAAGGAAGGCCTCAACGTGACAAGTTGACTTCCACACGGACGGCGCGGTTACGACAAGCCTGCGGGTTCCCGGGTTAAGCCAACTTGCCCTCAGTGGGAACCGCGGTGATCGGGGAGGATTTCTCGGCGTCTGAAAGTCATTTGATTCGCCTGGCCATGAGAGATGTTGGTCTTGCTTCCTGTGCTGATTTCGATATATGCCTAGGTCCCCCAGTAGTGCCCTTTCACCCTTTTTTTGGGGGAGGGTTCCCCTACTAAAATATATGCTACTGAAAAACAAAAGGGTAGCCATAGTCTAACCTCTCTACTGGAGGAACTAGATGCACTGCATGTGAGGTCGACTTGTACATCCAGCTACACCCGTTTTGCTTCCGCATCCCGCAGGTCAACTTTTGAGAGTTGAGCCTCCCGTTGAACAATTGGGGGGCTTTACGGGGAAGGCGAATCGGGACCTTCGACTTTCAGCGCGCTTTCGCGCGGGGTTTTCCGAGGATACCTATGTGCTTCATGCCGCTTGGCAAGAATTTACCGCGTTTGAACCCGGGCCACTTGGAACGACTGCGTCAGGGGGCAGCCTTTTTAGTGGCATGTCAGCTGGCTGCTAGCTGCCTCGGACCCATTTCGCATGCGTCTCGCGTTTTTTTTTTCATGTGTGCCCTGCCCCAAGCACCGTCTTGAGGTCCGAAAGGATGGTGCCGCGAGATGCGAATCTGAGACATCCATTGCCAGTTTATTTGTTTTGGTTTGAAGTCGTAGCAAGCTACAACCACGCCGCCACGCAAAGAGCCGCAAATGTGTTCGACAAAAGGCTGGACAAGTTGGGGGAACGAGCGATGCCAGCCATCAGAGAGAGTCGGTTTCACCCATAGCCCCGAGCTGCATTGGTCCATGTGAACGGCGGCCAGGAAGAGCAAGCCATGCCAACCTCGAGCCCACGAAACAACTGAACACCAACATGGAAGCCCCAGCTTTACGTCCCCCGTGCACACAAAACGCGGCACCCAGAGCCACCTTCGCAAGTGCCGAGGTTCCGCCGTGAAAGCTGTTCGCTGATTTTTTTCTGGGCAGGGGAGGGTGTCACGGATTCATTGAAATCCTGTGTGCTAGACATCTGACGGCTGCGGCTACAATTCTTACCCCTCTGCCATCTCCCCCCTCAAAGACTAGGGGAGGTGACAGCGTTTTTTTTTGGGGGGGGCATATCCCGACATATATACATGCACACCTGAGACTTGTTTGTGGCTATGTACCTCGACTGCCCACGTGTAGCATGCCGAATTGTTTTGGGTGGTATCTGCATGTAAGCTGGGCTTCACACGTGCAATGGGCTGAAATTGGAGATAATTGGAGCCCATGCCCGAGGATAGGGGTCATCCACATCATGCTGGTTGGCTTTGGCAAGATCAAGGCCTGGACTGTGGGGCCGCTATGCCACTGGGCAGTTCAAAGGTTGATTCCGTTGGTGGGAAGCCCGCAAACAAGGTCCCGAAAAAGGCGGACCCCAAGCCCTTATATATCTCATTTTAGGGAAGGACTCCCCCAGAACACACGGGCATGAAGAGGTGGCTGTTTGATACAACGTCAATCCCCATTTTGGCTCAAGGACGGATGAGGGCCGTTTCATTGCGTGCAAGCCATGGCCATCCGCATTGTTGCGCATGCGACAGCAGCGCGTGATTCCGTGGTCGCGAGCTTTTTCAACTTCCTGCACTCGGGGCGGTCTGGCTACGTCTTGCTATGCGGCTTTGCCCTGCTGGTGCTGGCGGGCGTCATGATGGTTGCCACCTTCGACAGCCGAGAGGCGCGGGCCGCCCCACCCGGCTGGGAGCGCTTTGTGGCCGCGACCAGCTCCAACCAGTGGGTGTCCTGCGCCTTCCTGCTGTCAGCGGCTTCGATTGTGCTGAGCATCAACTACTTGCCTCGCCTGGAAGGGGAAGGCTGATGATCGTGCTGTCAGCACGCCCCTCCCAGCCGGCCAGGCAAGGTAGGCCGCGAGGTGCTGGCAAGCTATGTGCCACTGCGCTCAAGACGAGCGGCTATGTTTCACCACCAGCAAGAAATCCAGTTTGCCCCTTCCCAGCGTGACCCATCAAAGTGAAAGTCTGGGACGTGGGGGAGATACTGGTGAGACAATGTTGCTGGCTGAAATCCGGCATCAGACGATAAAGCGAGGGACTGGGAGAAAGGCTGACCAAACGGCTGTCGTTCACGCAGACGTGAGGAAAGTCTCCGAAACTTGGCAGAAGTCGACTCATGTTTCCTTTTCTCTCAATCATTGCAGTGCCATCCTTGCCCAGAGTTGTGCCCGAAATCAACCTGCCATCTTTGAAGAGCCTCGCTTAGATTTTTTCCGGAACTTGGGAAAGCCCCAGAAAACGATTGTCCGCAGGATGACGCATCATACAAGTACCACGAGAACGAGGGGGTCATTGGCTGGATCCTGCTGCTGCTCAGGCAGGTGCCGTTGCGGAAAACAAGTCGCTAGGAGGCCGGTTGCATCATGATTGCTCAACCCATCTTCGGAACCCAGAGAAACCCAGAGGCGCAACCATCCCCGTGGTTTCAACCGTAGAAATAAGCCCGAATGACAGCCGCTTGAATGCACCCTGGCGGCATTCCTCAGCTTTGGTTCCATGAGTTCAGGGCCAGCAGGTGACACCGATTTTGGTGCGCTCGAGGACAACCCTTGGCCCATGAACTGCGAAGTGCCCCAAGAGACAAATCAGCTTCCGCCTTGGCGGTTTGCTTTGGTTTGGAAGATGGGGGTGGTTCCCCAATAACCCTCTACCAGAACCATGGGTTCAAATCCGAATCCAAACCACCAATCCAAACCACCAACCAAGAATTACCTGGCGTCCATTTGCTTAAGCCCCCTGGAAGGAAAGAAAATATGTCCAGTAGTGATGGATTCCCTTCAAAACCAAACATGGGAAATAAGCAGTATTCTTAAGCAAATGGACGCTGAGGAAATGTACAAAACGCAGGGCAAATCCTCCAGGCCACAAAGAAAACACCAACTTCAA